TATATATATTTATATGTTTATGCCGTATTTATTTTATATATTTATATATTACTATAGATTATAGTAAATAGATTATAGTAAAAATTATTTATTTATTATGATAGGTTGTATACTATAGATTTAATTACTATATATTACAGTAATAAATAGAAGCTAAGAAAACGTAACTTCCAGAGGTGAAGACACCAAGGAGAGGAATCGCATTCACTTGGGTGCCATCTACTTGGTGTGTGACCTTGAACCACGTCACTCAACCTTTGTGGGCATCACATTCCTCATTGGGAAACTAAGCATAGAGGATTTCCTTCAGAAGGTTGTTCTGGGGATTCAAGGAATGGTTCGCACAGGGGCTACACACAGTAGGAACTCAGGGAATGTTGCTGGGACTCACGTTCCTAAGCCATGAAAACAGGGTACAGTGGGTGGAGGGTGCTACCATTCATGCATGGAGCGGAAATAAAACATGTGCCTGTGTGCAGAGGTCCACAGGGAGTTTCTGAAAGATACACATTCAATGAAGACCAGGGAAACAGAGGTATTCTCCCAGTAAAGAGGACAGATGCATCTGTATATATGTGTGCATTTATTTATTTATTTTGAGATAGAGTCTTGCTCCGTCATCAGGCTGGAGTGCAGTGATGCCATCTTGGCTCACTGTAACCTTTGCTTCCCAGGTTCAAGTGATTCTCCTGCCTCAGCCTCCCTAGTAGCTGGGACTACAGGCATGTGCCACCATGCCTGACTAATTTTTGTATTTTTAGTAGAGACGGGGTTTTGCCATGTTGGCCAGGATGGTCTCTATCTCGACCTCGTCATCTGCCTGCCTCGGCCTCCCAAAGTGTGCTGGGATTACAGGCGTGAGCCACCGCATCCGGCCTATATGTGCCTTTATAAATGGCAAACATGCAAAACTAACACAGTACAAATCTCCATTATTATGCATTTAAATGTTTTGCAGAGATCAGGCTATTGCCATATTATCAAGGCTGATCTCCAACACCTGGCCTCAAGGCTGCTCCTGTGTCAGCCTTCCAAAGTGCTGGGATTACAGGCCTGAGGCATCGCCCAGCTCAATCTCCAGTTTTGGTGAATCAGTCACCAACATGCTGTGCCCTGCACCTCCAAATACCTATCTTTTCCACAAACTAGGATAGCTTCCCACATGTCCACTGTTAGACATGTGAAAATCGGGACATGAACTCTTCTGGATTGCTCCCATCTAATTCGAAGGCCCAACCACCTTCACTACTTGTGCCAATAATATGTTTATTTCACTGTATGCTTTGAAATGTGTACCACATGCACATATTATTATTTTTTAAGAGACAGGGTCTCACTGTGTTGCCCAGGCTGGAGTGCAGTGACTATTCACAGGCATGATCCCACTACTGAGCAGCACGGGAGTTTTGACCTGCTCCATTTCCGACCTGGGCCGGTTCACCCCTCCTTAGGCAACCTGGCGGTCCCCCGCTCCCGGGAGGTCACCATATTGATGCCGAACTTAGTGCGGACACCCGATCCGCATAGCGCACTACAGCCCAGAACTCCTGGGCTCAGGCGACCCTCCAGCCTCAGCCTCCCGAGTAGCTGGGACTACAGGTACATGCCACCGTGCCCGGCGCATATGTTATCTTTACGAAAAAAAAATAGTATTTTGAAACCACTCGACACAGCCAAACGAAATAAAAGTGATCTCATTCAAGCAGGAGCCCCGAGGACTAGGAGAACCCAGCCTCTCCCAGGCCTCCTCACCTGAGCGGGGCTCCCTTCTGACCGCCGCCCACCCGCTCCAGGGCCGGGCGCAGGAAGGGGCCGCCCAGCCCGAGGCTCGCAGGGGCCGAAAACCCCGGGTCCTGCACACGCCTGGGCCCCGCGGCGAACCTGGCGTCCCCACCCCACTCCAGGATCAGATTCAGGCCAGGCCAGGAACCACCCGAGCTTCCCGCGTCCGCCTCGGTCCAGGCTGCAATGCGGGCGGCGGCCGCCAGGGGGCGGAGGATCGGGGCCCGCGCCCGGCGCGCCCCACCGAGGCGTGGCTCAGGACGAGGGTTCGGGAGCCACTGGCCCCGAGCACCCACGTGCAGCTTCCGCTCGCAGCCCCGGCCTGGCTCCTCGGTCCCCGGCTGAGACCTGCGGCCGCTGCAGGGCGAGGGGGCGGGCTCGTCTCGGGGCGCACAGGGCTCCCAGCCTCTCCCACCCCAACCCCGCCCTTACGGGGAACCCCAGCGACGTCCTGAACCCGGAAAGTGACACTGGGGCCGGGGCTGGACTTGGCGCCCGCTTCCCCTCCCGTCACAGTGACCAGGGCTGGGCCGGGGTCGGGGCCGTCGGGGCGGGCGGAGGCCACGTGGGAATAGGGCTCGCTGCGCCACGGAAACCCCGCGCCGCCCTTCGAGTCCTCCGGCTGCTCCGCATAGCCGGGGCCGCTGCCATCGCGTCTGCCCCGAGGCTGCGCAGGCGGGTACCTGTCGGGACTCCGGGAACAGCCCGAGCCGGGAGACGCCCATCGGCCTGCCCAGCCCCACCTGGGACGACTCTGGGGGCGGGAGGCCGGGAGAGAAGAGGGTGGGAGATGAGGGGCAGGGAGAGAAGGGACCCGGGGATGTTATAACACGCTTTCCGCGCGTACAACTGGGGCCCACAGGCGGCCAGAAAGGTGGGATTCATTGGCCCCCTTTGCGGATGGACCCATGTTGGAGCCCCTTAGATCTGCGGTGGGGGCACCGAGACCTGCGGTGAGCACCTCACACCCCTAACGCCAACGGATCCGCCCACCGCATGCCCGCCTGGCTGGCTTTGCACAAACGCTGCGTCAGGACACGCCCCAGGCCCACTCCCTCCCACATGGCGACCCTCAGGCCTTCGTAGACAGAAAGTGTCCTAAGCACACGCAGGTTCAAAGCCCGCCCCCGCCTCGGATTCGCTGTGTGGCCCGCAGCCAGTATCTTGGCCTCTCTGGGCCTCAGTTTGCTCATCTCAGTGAACCGGACACAGACACAGGCGCGCTTCGGGCTCACGCTTTATTTGCCATCCAAGGTCCCGGGCCCGCCTGGGCGCCCGCTCAGAAGATCTTCACCGACTCCAGCTGCACGTCCCCGCCCACCTCCACCAGGCGCACGCGCGCCAGCGGCAGGCGGTGGCGGAAGTGGTGGTACTGGACGTCCCCAACCACGGCCTGCAGGGGAGGGTCGCTGGTGAGGATTCCGGAGGCCCGTGCTGGGTGGCCCTGGGGAAATCACTCACCCCCTCTGCGCCTCAGTTTCCCCACTGGGAAAATGGGGCTGTTGTTCTTTCTAACTCCTGTCGTCTGGATCAAAGCAGTTTACTGGGTGGCACAGCAGAAAACGGCTTTTTTAGTGCTGGTAATGGATATTCTTATTTAAAGCGCAGAGGAGGGAGGTGAACTCGCGTAAGGCCTGGGTGGTGGGGGATTTGCCGCCCCCCCCACCCCCATCCTTGCTAGGACGAGTTCCTGAGCGCGGCCTCCAACCCATCCCTCCCCCGCCTCCGAGCCCCAACCTCAGGCACAGGGAACTGGGAGTCGGGTCGGGGTTGGCGAGTCTGGGCCACGGCTTCGCGCTAGGGCGCCCACCCCTTGGGTACCCGGCGGGGTCGCCTCGTCCTGACCCTGCTGTCTCGCTGGGGCCCGGGTAGGAGTTGCTTAGGCCAGAGAGAGGGGTTCTGGGGACGCGCCGGTCCCGCCTTGGCCACGCCTCCTCCACCCCTCCGCCCTCCTGGCCTTTTCTCTATCCCGGTGCTGCGCGGAACCCTCTGCTCCGGGGACCTAGGTCTTGGCGCCCATGCCCCTGTCGCAGAGACGCACCTTGAAGCCGTCGTCGGACGCGATGATGAGCACCTCGAAGGGCTGCCCGCGCTGGAAGGGAACGCCCGGCCCGCGCTCCTCGCGGCCCCAGGAGCCCTGCTCCAGGCTGTTGAAGACCACCTCGGAGGTGTCCAGCCGGGGGTTGAAATGCAGGACCGCATCGGAGCCCTGCTCCTCCCCGCACAGCAGGTTTACATGGAACCTGGAAGTTGGGGATGGTGGCAGTCAGGGCTCAGAAACCACCCTGACCAAGAAATGCTGACGGGTCAGGGAGACTGATGTCTACAATTTACTTCGAATGAATAAGTAAATGAAATGGTGGCTGGGTGCAGTGGCGCACCCTGTAATCCCAGCACTCTGGGAGGTGGAGAAAGGAGGATCACTTTAGCCCAGAAGTTAAAGACCAGCCTGGGCAACGTAGCAAGACCCCATCTTACCAAAAAAATGAGTGAACAAACAAACCACCAGAGCAAAGTGAAGGGCTGATGGGCTGGGACTCCCCATTCCCAGAGCACCCCCAAATTGACAGCGACCTGAAGACAGGGACACACCACAGAAGAAGTGGCCAACTAGGGAGCTCAGATTCTGAGGGCAGCCAAAATGTCATGAGGCCCTTGGCAGGAACCCACTCAGACCAAAGTCACTGCCCTTAGGGCAGGGTGCCCTCATTTCCAAAGAGCCTGGGAGCTGCCCAGGAGGTCTGGGTGTTGGCCCAGGGAACCCTCAGGTGCTACATGACAAAGAATATCAGGAACCCCAGTATTTCCAGGGTACCCCAGAATCCAGAAGGCCCAAAGTTCCTCAGCCAGGAAGCAAAGGACGACTTGGCCAGGACTCCCAGAGTCCAGGGTGTCTCCAGGACTCGGAATTTTCCAGAGTTCCCCGGGACCCAGACATGGAAGTCACAGGACTATATCTAGGAATCTTGAGATTGCCCAGGACCCCCAAATTCTTAGGGAAACTTAGGACCCCAGCCACAAGGCATGGGGCAAATAATCGAATACATCAGATTTGAGGTCAGATATGGCGTGGGACTCGACTCCTAGCCTGGTGGGTACAGATGGCCCAGCGCCCCTATTTCTGGACTGCAAGAATTGGGGGTCAGCTGAGCCTGGGACCTGCACCCTTTATACCTAGGGCCTGGGGCCTTACCTGCTGGCATTAGGAGGAACCACACCACGAATTCTCAGCACCGTGCCAGGGTGGATGCCCTCGGGCAGTGAGGTCTTGTGGGGGACGTTCTGCAAGAGTGGGGTGCCGGGGCCACTGTGAGCCAGTGAGACAGAAGGAGGGAGACAGAAGGTAGGCCACCCCTCAGAGGAACCAACCATGACTGAGAACGGCAGAAATCAGTGGGAGAGAAAAGGGTGGCAGAGAGGCAGGAAAGAGATGGGGAGAGCAACAAGGAAAAACAGGAAAATGCTCAGAGGGAGCCAGAGGAAGCCACGAAGGGGGAGAGGGGACAATCAGGATCGGGGGCCACCCAGAGGCCACAGCCCAAGACCACCCACGGTGCACCCACTGCCCACTTGCTCCTTTGAAAGGTGAGCCCCCAGTCCCCTCCCTACAAGGCCCCGCCCTGGGACCCTGGAGCACTCACGGACATGGCTGGGACAGGGTCAGGCAGCGGTGGTGGTGGGGACTGCTGGGGACCTTAAGTAAAAGTAGGGCGGGGCTGGCCCTGATGACTCACCCCACCCCTTCCCACCCACCACCCACACCTGGCACAGACCCTGGCCCTGGGGCAGGGCTGGGGAGGTGGGAGCTGTGCCTCTTCCTGGGAGCCCTGCTCCCCTCCACCACCCAGGGCCCGCATGCCCTGCCCCCTCCTAGGAGCTGATAATAAGAGGGACCGTTTAATAATAATAAACTCACAGCAGAGAAGGCACCTTGTGCCACCACCCCTCCAGCCCTGTCTTCCTGCTGCCTGGCACACAGAGAGCCCCTATCTCATTTTATACACAGGGTCCCGAGTATAAAATGATGGGTCCCGAGAAGCCAAGCTGGGGGGGAACTCCAGACCCTTCCTTCCGGCTGAGAACCTCCTGCGCCTGGACTTGGGGTGTCCGCGCTGAAATCCCAGCTTCCACATCTGTAAGGGAACAGTGGCGATAGTGACAGACAGGGCGGCTTCACAGAGTCGGGGCTGAGGGGCTGCCTGGTCCACTCAGCGCTGCACCCCAGGTCCTGAAGTCTGCACGGCATGTGGCAAGTCCTCAGTGAGGAGGGGTGAAAGGAAGGGAGACTCCAGGACTACCCTGTCATTTCCTAGGCCTCTGGGCTGCCCAGGATATGCAGGAAATCACTGATTGCACCCTCATAATTTTTTTTTTAATTTTGTGAAGGAGTCTTGCTCTCTTGCCCAAGCCGAAGTGCAATGGCATGATCTCAGCTCACTGCAACCTCCACCTCCCGGGTTCAAGCGATTCTCCTGTCTCAGCCTCCTGAGTAGCTGAGATTACAGGCACCCACCACCATGCCTGGGTAATTTTTTAATTTTTAGTAGAGATGGGGTTTCTCCATGTAGGTCAGGCTGGTCTCTTAACTCCTGACCTCAAGTGATACAGCCACTTCAGCCTCCCAAAGTGCTGGGATTACAGGTGTGAGCCACCACACCCGGCCATGCACCCCCATAATTCCAACAGGGAGGAATATGGGTCGCCCCCATTGTACAGAGGAGGAGGCTGGGTCTGGGATGGGAAGCGATTTTCCACAAGCCATGCAGGACCCTCTGCCCTGACCTCTGGCTCTCCTCACCTCTGACTGCACTTCTCCTGTGGGTTCTGTCTCGGGGGCTGGCTGCCTCGCTCTGTCCTCTTCTCCTGTGGGTTCTGTCTCTGGGGCTGGCTGCCTCGCTCTGTCCTCTTCTCCTGTGGGTTCTGTCTCTGGGGCTGGCTGCCTCGCTCTGTCCTCTGTCTCTAACCCTGTCTACGGCGTATTCTTGTCTCACTTCTCTCCTTCAAATCTCTCTCTCTTGTTCCTCCTTTTAGTACTGTTACCATCATCCCACCAAGCTTACTGGTCAGGATGAGGTGGGTCTTATGGTGGTGGGTGGCCCAGCCCCCCATCACCACCCAGACCCAAAACACAGCAAAGTGAGGACCCTCTGCCAGCCCTGATATAGCCCCCTTGGGCCCAAGACTCTGGAAGAGAATCCAGGGTTGGGAAAGTAGATTGGGGGAGGGGCGGGCAGGACTGAAAGATGTTTCTGGAAGGCAGGGATGGTGTGGGAGCTGAACAGAAACTACTCCTGGCTGGGTGTGGTGGCTGATGCCTGTAATTCCAACACTTTTGGAGGCCAAGGTGGGCAGATCGCTTGAGGTCAGGAGTTCGAGACCAGCCTGGCCAGCATGGTGAAACTCCTTCTCTACTAAAAAAATATAGAAAATTAGCTGGTCGTGGTGGTGGGTAATCCCAGCTACCTGGGAGGGTGAGGCAGGAGAATTGCTTGAGCTGGGGTGGCGAAGGTTGCAGTGAGCCAAGATCACACCAATGCACTCAAGCCTGGGTGACAGAGAGAGACTCCATCTCAAAAAAAAAAGATGCTGGGCGTGGTGGCTCATGCCTGTAATCCCAGCACTTTGGGACGCCGAGGTGGGTGAATCACACTGTCAGGAGTTCAAACCAGCCTGGCCAATATGGTGAAACCCCGTCTCTACTAAAAATATAAAAAATTAGCTGGGCGTGGTGGCGTACGCCTGTGATCCCAGCTACTCCAGAGGCTGAGGCAGAGAATTGCTTGAACCTGGGAGGCTGAGGTTACAGTGAGCCGAGATCCTGCTACTGGACTTCAGCCTGGGGGCCAGAGTGAGATTCCATCTCAAAAAAAAAAAAAAAAGAAAAGAAAAAAGAAACTACTCTTAGCAGCCCAGCAACCCTCCTGGACCTCTTCTACCCCCCACCCAACTCCTGCCCCACCCAGCAGGCTGCTGAGAGGCCTGGGCAGAGGCAGGCTGGCAGTGAAAAGTTTGGGTGGAGATACCAGGCCCAGAACCATCCTCCACCCTCTGTGTCCCAGGCCCCCACTCCCTAGCCCCCTCCCCACACGCTCAAGGCAACAAGCTGGGGACCAGTTCCTGGGAACATGAACTCAGAGAGGGAGGCTGGCAGTTGACATTTTGGTGAGGACTGCAAGCACCCCCATTCTGCAGGGGAGAAAACTGAGGCTTAGATAGGGACAGCCTTTCAGCCAAGGAGGCGGCCAGGCCCTGGGCTCCAAGGGGTCTCTGTGCCAAGGACACATCATGGGCACAGACAGAGAGGACACAGGGTGTCAGGTGATCATACTACCAGCTCAGTCAGGTCCCAAGAATGTTCCCTTGAATGGTGGACTCCATCTTTCTAACATTATTCACCATTCTAAAGAAGACACTCCTTGGCCAGGCGTGGTGGCTCACGCCTGTAATCCCAGCACTTTGGGAGGCTTAGGTGGGTG